ACCCAGGCCCTCTCCCCACCCAGGCCCTCTCCCCACCCAGGCCTCTCCCCACCCAGCCTCCCTCCTCACCCAGCCTCTGTCCCCACCCAGCCTCCCTCTTTACCCACCCTCCGTCCCCACCCAGGCCCTCTCCCCACCCTGCCTCCATCTCCACCCAGCCTCCATCTCCACCCAGCCTCCGTCTCTACCCAGGCCCTCTCCCCACCCAGGCCCTCTCCCCACCCAGGCCCTCTCCCTGTGGCACCCACTCTGGGCAGGTCCTCGGGTCTGGGCCGAGTTTGGTCTCAGAGTGGAGGCACCGTCAGGTACCTCCCTTCCCCCAGCAGAGCACCCGTCTACAGACCAGGGGTTCCGCTGATGAGGTGAGGACCCTGTGAGAATGTGTTGACCAGAGACTGGGGTCGTGTCTGTGTGGCAGAGCTGACTGCATTGGGGGAGTCACCTTCCTGTTACTGATGTTGGGGCCAGGATGAGAGCATGAGTGTGTGGTGGGGGGAGCGGGACACTTCCTCTTCCCACTCCCTGGAAGTCCCGTTCTGGCCTTTAAGCCTCCCAGGGAAGCCACCTGGGGCAAGCCGAGCCCTGAGCCTGCACCTGCCCACAGGCCGCAGGGATGGGACTGAGCACAGTCAGCCCCTGGAGACTGCTCAGGCCACGCGTGAGGCCGGGGTGGTCCTGCCTGGTGATCGGGCGGGCGTCCTGGGGTCTCCTGCTCTGGGCAGCAGCTTGACAGGAGAATGAGATGGACATCGGGCAGAAGCAGTTCCCCCTGAGGGACGGGCCGGGGCTGCAAGCGAGCCCGTGTCTGAGCACTGAGTCCACGCTGGGAGGAGCTCAGGATGAGTGCCCACCACGGGCCGAGTGCCCAGGGGCAGGCCAAGCATGTGCAAGGCACCAGCGAAGCAAGTATTTGGGGACATGTTTTAATAGACAGTATTATAAAAACATCAAAGTTGTGGAAAGGTGAGAACTTGGTTGGACTTTCTTTTCCTTATATTACAGTTTACACTTTTATTTTCAGTTTTATACGGTGTCAGAGAGGCTCTCCCTCTTCATAGCTCATGGCTTTCACGCCCCATCACCAAGAATGTCCAGAGAAGATCTTAGATTCTGGATCAACAGCCCCCCCCCCCCATTGTGGAGGAGGTAACTGAGGCCCAGAGGAGCTGTGACCCTCCAGGTTACAAGCAAGTAGTGGAAACGAGGGTCCAGCCCAGGCCTCTTGTCCTGCCTCCCAGCTCTAGAATACCCCATGGCCTGGGGCCTTTTTCAGACATGTCAATCCAGATGACATTTATCGAACCCCTCCTGAGGCCTAGCCACTCCCCAAGCTGACGGACAGCAGATGGAGTGGGCTTGCCATGAGATTACGTAGCCCACAACTCGGCTATGTTATGGAAGGATGTGGGAGCAGGGTCCCAGCAGCTCCAATTTGGGTGGGGAAATGAAATTGTGACAGTTCTACTCTAAGCTATGATGTCCTGAGATAGGATGGGCTAATCCTGGAGAGCTTCCTGGAGGAGGTAAAACTAGCCCTGAGTCTAGAGCAGCGCTTCTCAACCTGTGGGTCACGACCCCTTTGGGGGTCGAACAACCCTTTCACAGGGGTCGCCTAAATACATCCTGCATATCAGATATTTACATTCCGATTCATAACAGTAGCAACATTACAGTTATGAAGTAGCAACGAAAATCATTTTATGGTTGGGGGTCACCACAAATGAGGAACTGTATTAAAGGGTCGCGGCATTAGGAAGGTTGAGAACCACTGGTCTAGAGGATTGGGGAAAGTCTGAGAAAGTGACAAGGAGGTGCTGGGGAGGGTGGGAGGAACCCCCTCAGACCACCACCCCAGGCTCAGGGCCCTGAACCCTGTGCCTGGCTGGGCCTCCCTAGGCCACGGGCCTGACCTTGACCTTCCACTCTTCCCAGGTCACCCACTGTGGGGATGTCCACTTCTCATCTGTGGGAGCCAATGAGATGGCATTAATTGTCTGAGAGGTTTCGAGTCAGGCGCGGGTGCCAGACATACTGAAACTGCTGCTGCTCAAAGCCCCGCTTCTAGCCCCAGCGCAGGCTGTTCCCCAATGGCCTGCTGACCCCGGGTCACTCCATCCCTGACTCACTCTGTGGCCACAGCTGCTCACTGTTCCTCCTGGGGTCTGAGGTTGAGTCTACATCCCTCATGTCGAGAAGGGAACTCTGCTGTCAGCTTACAAAGCCTTCCCAGTGGCAAAGGAGCCAGAGTCCGGGCCGCTCCTGCCTTCTCGCTCCTCTGTGGTGGTGACCTTCAGGCTGAGGCCTGGGCCCCTCCGGGGAGAGGAGGGCTGCAGACCCGGC